ATCCATCTGTTGATAGACGTGTTTGTGTCAAGGCCGGTGTTAAACCACGAAAAACTCCAACTATTACGGCAACGGTATCATCAACATCGCCTATAAATAATAATTCATCATTAAATATGGTGAATAATTCATCAAATAATACAAGCACTTCTTCACGTTCATTTCCGAAAATATTCGGTAATAAAAAATTAGAATCAATATTAGCACGCCTTGATGATCCACATATAAATCCACAATTAGTTGAAACAATGGATGAATCAAATCCAAATATTGTTTTAGAATTTTTACTTGAATCAAATAAATATACACAAATAACAAATAATTTATCTGATGATGATATTATAATTATATTAAAATATTTTAATGATTTTTTAATACAAGGTTATCAAGGTAATTTTCAAAAACTACGTGAATTAAAAATCTATAAACCACTTTGGGGTATTGCATCAACTGATGATAAACAACAACCTATACAACAATGTTGTTCATTAGAAAAATTTGCACATGTTTACATATTAAATGAAGAATGGTCTAATTTAATTCGACGTTCATTTAAAAGAAATTTTTTTACTGAACAATTTCATGAAAAAAAAACTGTTTTATTAATGCAAAAAAAAATTGAACATTTAAATAAAATATTTACACATATACGTTTTATAATACCATCAGATATGGAAATATTTTTACAATTATGTTTACCACATTTTAAAAAATTAGATGCAAAATCACAAGTTAATTTATTAAAATATTTTATTGATGATATTGATGAAAAATTATTTCAACATGAAAAAGAACAATGTAGAAAACAATTACATGATCATTTAGAAATATTTACACAAACATCAAATAATAATATTGATTATTTACATAAAACATCAACTGGAATATCAAGATCATTGGTAAGATAACACTACTCTTGTAGTTCGTTTCATACTAATAAATTCTTTTTTGTTTTTGTTTTTAGCGTGATCCACAAGAAATTTGTCCAATCTACGAATTATATGATCCAAATATAAAAAATATTCGTTCAATCTTAGGTGTTCATTATTTTCCTGATGAACAATTTCATACTCCAACAACATTAAAATTTCTTAAAGAATGTGGTCTACGTTCTTATATACCAACTGATAAATGTAAACAAATAATGGAATCAATTCAACTTAATGTTAAACAAGAAGGTTGGACAAATGAACAACGTAAACGTTCAAAACATTTATATGAACATATATTAATACATTGGACACGTTATGATAATTCTATATTAGATTATAAATTTCTTGAACCATATCAAATGCATATTGAACATACTGGTTTATTACAATTACATGATCAATATATTAATTCAAGTAGTACAACAACAACAACAACTGAACATTTTCGTTATACATGTATTAAATTAAGTGATGGAGAATTATTAAAAGATGCAAAATTATGTTGGACATCATCATATTTATTACCTGAATTTGTTTCTCTTGAACAATATAATGATTTTAATGATAAAACAGAACCTATTGAACAAAATGCAATAGAATTTTTTAAATTAAATAAAAAACCATCTTATTCATTAGTACAAAAAAATTTAACAAATTTAGCAAAGAAATTTTCAATGAAATATCATAAAATAAAGTTTGTTTATTACGATGATTTTTCGTTTCTTTTTTTTTTTATTCAGATTTTTTTTTTTTTAGTGATATAAGATCTTCTCCAACAACAACAATGTCTCAACATAGTATTGATGATTTATTAGTATCTGTTTTAAAAACTATTTATCGTTATTTTCAATATGAAATAAAACCTGAACGTCGAACAGATATTTATAAAGAATTAGAAGAACAAGAATGTATTTATTCACGTACACGTCGTCAATTTTTACACGGAAAATATTTTTGTTTACATTTACCAATAGCAGATGAAATTCCACCATTTTTATTTTCATTAGATAAAGATTTTTATGAATATAAAGATCTTTTTCTACATATTGGTGTTCAATTAGAACCACATCCAATGTTATATGGTGATATATTAAGAAAATTATCAAAAGTTTGTGATCAAGATTATTTAAATTCAAATGAATTATGTAAATCATTAAAAGCTATGGAATGTTTTTTTAAATATTTAGCTACAAATTCCAGTATAAATTCACAAACAAAATTACCTGGTAAAGTTATATTTTTTTCTTTTTTGAAATGAATATATGAGTACTTAGAGTTTTTGAAGAATAAATAGAAATTTGTCGTGTACGTATCAAGGTAGCTTGTTTTTCATAGATAAAAAAAAAACCAGGGATATTTTATTTGGGTTTATTGACTATCGATACAATGTAGCTAATGAACATTGATACTGAAACATACCGCTACAAAAAGAGTATATTTTGAAAAATTTTATGTCTTTAATATTGTAACGAACGTTAATGTCAGTGTTTCAGAGAAAACCAAAAGCCAGTATAATCAAACCACTAGTGAACTCTTTGTTGGTGACTCACTATCAATATTTACATAAACACTTCACATATCTAGATAGAAACACAAGGTTAAACAAGAAGTTAAGTTTAAATCTTTGTTATGCAGTACTCTTGTTAACTTTAGCGTTTACTATATGACCTTCTTATTGATTTCTTGATGACAAATAAAACTAATTTAGTTGTTTGAAAATAAACATAAAGAACTATTGATAATTGTTTATAAAATGCATAGATTACACTTCATTATAATTTAATTTTTTTTTTTCATATATAAATATTTGACTCGTGCATATATTCTGAAAATCCTATGAATATGTATTGATAAAATGGCTAACGAGGGAATAGTTTTAATGGATCAATCGTTTTCTAATAGAAAAAAAATCTACTATATTGTAATTTATCGGTAGGGCAGGTTTCAAATATGAAAATGAGAAATATTCGTAGTTCTTGCAAGGTTGTCTTTCTAGACTAATAAACAGTCTGATAAGGTCATGATGGATCTGCGTCTATCATAAAACGTATCGAGTCACATATAAAAATTCCAAAAATGTGCTTGAAGTGAGATAAGATAATGTTGAGAGTTTTTACATTAAAATATTGATATACGCATATGTGTTGTATGAATCAGCATAACTGAATTTTCTGAAACAAAAAAAGATTTGCAACAAAATAAAATATTATTTTCTGAGCAATTCAATGCACTCTATAATCTACAAAGATTAGAAAAAACGTATTTTGTAAAAAAGTTTGTTAGTCTAAAAAAAGTAATATATGAAGATCTTAGAAAATTTTTCATGCTCATATTCAGAATCAACATGGTCGATAATCGATAATCTAGTAGTTTTCGCTAAAAAAGGCAACTATTGATTGGTAAAAAATGACCATCTTGTCAATACCAGCAGAAATGTACAGCTCAAGCCAACACTTGATCAATTTGACACTACCTTCATGTTAAGTCTAGAAAAAAAAAATTTTTTTAAGAAATATCATGCAAATTAATTTGTCAGATATTGACGTACATCATAATTTTATTCTATGTTTTAACATTGAGATATATATACATATATTTTTGTTTTGCTAGGTCTTTATCTTGTATCGAATGATTTTAAATTAGTCAAATCCAGTGAAATAGTCATTATGGATGATAAAACAAAACTTGATTATATGACAAAATTAATTCATGATAAATTTATGTTTAATCCAAATGAACGTGTTCTTAAACTCGATTCAATGCCATCTTCAACATCAAAACAAAATGGTTCAATAACAAATTTAAAAGATATTATTGATAAAATATTTGTTAGTCAACGTCCAATATTATTTACACAAAAATATGAAGAATCATTTTCAATAACAATACCTGAAGATGAAGAATCTCATCGTCAACGTTTTCTTTATAATCTTGAAAGAAAATATAATCAATTATTATCATCAAGACATTTACATCGTTGTATGGCACGTGTTATAGCAAATCATGTTGCACGACAACCAAATCCAAAAATAATCTTAATGGATGATGTTGAAAATTTAATTCGTCAACGTTTAACATTTATTAAAGTAACATGTGTTGAATATCTTGAAACAAATTTAGTTTATAAAAAAACACAACAAAAAGTTGATCAATCTGTTGATGAAAAAGCTGTTTATTTAGTTGCTGAAGGCGAAGAAAATATAACATTATATATTAGTATGAAACATACTGAACAACCGTATTTTACATTATGCTTAGCACGTGCATTAAGTCCATGTTTAGGTTTATCTGAGTTACAATTAGATAATTCTGTTATGGCTGCATTATTAGCAACAACAATTGGACAAATGTCAAAATTATTAAATTTAGTTAATGTTGCTGATGAAGAAAATATATTATCTATACTTAAATTACAATATATACCATCACCAGGTAATGTTTATGGTGATGATATTGAACAATTACAAAAATTTAATATTGAACAACATCAAATTTTACCAGGAGATTTATGTGTTTATCGTGTTAATGATTTATATATTTATTGTGAAGTTGAAAGTATAATTAAAGAATATACACATATTGAAAATGATCGATGGTCATGGAAAAATACTCATTCATCATCACTTGTACCATCATATGTATTTATATGTCGAATTAATGATGGAAATGAAACAGAAAGAATTGAAGCTGCTAATTTTTATGTACTTGAACATTGGTCAAGAATATTTGATGCTGTTCATACAAAACCAGTTGATGAACGAGAAACATTTAAATCATCAACAACATCAAGTTCAACAGCAAATGCACAAGGTAAGTTTTGAAGGACAGAAAAAGAAAACATTATCGTTTGTCAGAATAAGAAGGATTTGGATGAGACCGATTGATACTTATGTGCCATGCTTTAACTAATTTCTTATAATTTTATTTTAATGCTTTAAAATTCTTTTGTTTTAATAATGCTAGTGGTTAATATATAACACCGTATTTTTGATTATTAAATATCATACATAGTGACATTCGGTCTTACCTTTTTCCTTATTCCATATCATCTATATCTTTCATAAACTAATGGTACGTGTGTCATTTATAGGAAAAAGTGGCAGTGGCGATAAAGATAAATACAATGATGAAAAATTTTCTTACTCATCACGACGTTCAGGAAAACCAACAACTGATAGTACTGGTTTTAACAGTGATCCAGGCTTTTCAAATGGTTTCGATAGTTCAAAAACTTATCATCAAACATCAGCTGATAGTGATTCATCGAGTAATATTACATCAGAATCTCAATCAGAATCTGAATCAGCACAAACAAATGAACAAGATCTTATTGATAAAACCGAATTAGAATTAACAAAAACAGAAATTTATAATGCTGTTCGACAAGCTTATCAATTAACTGGACAAGAACGTAAGAAAACAGTTAAAAAATTATTATTAAAATGGCATCCTGATAAAAATCCCGGTCGTGAACGTTTTGCTGCTGAAGTTTTTAAACATTTACGTAAACAAATAGATCATTTTGAAAATGATCCATTAACATCTTTTTTTAATACATTTAATAATTTTCATCCATCACCATTTTCAGCTTCGGATCCGAAATTTAGTTGGAATAAACATTCAAGTACAAATAAAACAAATAATCAACATCCAACATCATCAGCAACAACTGATGATCGTTTTAGTAGTTTTGATAATTTAAATAAAAATGCTAAAGATGACACTAAACGTAGTTATCAAGATATACCAAATGAAAATAATAAAGATACAAATGATCATAATGATACAAATGGAAATACAACTAAAAGTCGTTTTAGTCCACATCGTTCATCATCATTTCGTACAGCACGTGAAGAATGGCAATATCGTCGTCAGCATGGTTTTCAACGACGTCATGGATTTTTTAATACAACTGAAGAAAATTCAACAACTACTAATACAAATGGTACTAATGGTCAAACATCGTCAGCAACAGGAGGAAGTAAGTTTGTGTTTTTAGATGTTTCCTTTTTTCTCTTCTTATTTTGCTTCTTTATTGAGATACATTGTTGACACACGCACAGCTTTTCTTTTTTTTTTCTCACACACATATTCGAAATATTCACTCATACAGCAAATGTTTAACTTTTGTTTTGTTTGTTTGTTTTTTTAATAATAGAAGAAAGTCCAAATGCACGTCGTAAACGTAATTATCAACAATCAGAAGCTGATCGATGGCTTAAACAAGCTCAACATGATCTTGAAAGTGCATATAGTGATATGCATTCACCAACTAGTCAACCTGCTTATGATTGGGCTTGTTATAAATGTTATCGAGTATGAAATAAATCATTGATAAAAATCGAAAGAACATTATTTTTTTTTGTTTTTCAGGCGGCTGAAAAAGCATTAAAAGCTTATCATTATTATAGAGATACAGGAAAAAATATGACAGCTGATATTCCTGGTTTATTGATTGGTGTTGATAATGATGTTAGAGAAATTGGATATAAATTATATAAATGGATTGGAGATCCAAATCGAATGCAGTATCCAAATGCAGCACGATTTGCTAAAATTCCAGCTGAAGTATTCACAGTTTGTAAGTTTATTTCATTAGTTTTTTTCAAGTTTAACAGGATAAATATTCAAAACAAAATAATAGGAGAAAAAATTCAGATGAAAAACAACTCAACTCTAGCCATTGAATCTCACTAAAAATGGAGAATACTTATACTTTTGAAAGAACAATCGGAAAATGTCAGGAGAGAAGAAAAGTTCTTGAGAACCATATAATAACAGTCGATTGAATCATTTTACTATCTAAATTGTGACCAATTAGATTTTACTTGCTATAAATATAGTTAATCAGATTTCTGTTTTGTTTATCTGAGTTCTGACTAGAGAAAGAAATTGATCGTTAGCTTAATTAGTAATTCCTAGCGAAATAGTTCTTTAACATTGATTACTCTTTAATATATGTGTTTAATGTTTTTTTTTGCAATATAAACCCAGAATGAGCAACACGCATTCTTTTTCAATTAACGAGGAAACCACTCAAACTGATACCCGTCGCTTAAACTCATATTCAGCCTACAAGAGCATCTTGCTCAGAATAGCAAAAATCTAAAATGATTCGTTTCCATGGGCCTTTGAAACTGAGTTATGATCGTTTTACTGAGTTTTCGATCTAGCTCTCGGCATCTACTGGAAAATCAAGTAACGAAATTTTCACCTGAAATTTTGTCCATAGATGATGAGTCTACTGATCTATAGAATATCCTGGAAGTTTCAGGCGAAAATAATGTTCCTTTGTCGAAGTATTGAATTTTCAAATCAACTCGACTTTGATATCATGTCTATAGTAAAGTACTTTTTTTTAGAAATCTAATATCTAGATAAAGAAATATTCTTTGGGCTAAAGTTATGAGAGCATCTTTCGAATCATTTGATTTATCCATGAGCTAAACTTCAAATCGAAATTCTGATTTTTGATTTTTTACTATATAAAACTTGTTCAAGAGTTCAGTAGAATGATCATAACTCGACGCCAAAGACAGGATGAAGATGAACACGTCTCAACTTTCTCTAGTTTCATCAAGGTATCATTGTAGATCCAATATAAGCGCAAGCAACGGACATCAGTTCAAATTGTTTCTTTTTAGGAGTTTTCTGAAAAGATGTGTTCAGTATAGTTGTCAATGCGTACACTCTAGCACAGTCCCAAACGCGATAAAACTTTCACAAAATGTTTTTTTTTTTTGTCTGATACATCCACTCAATGCATATAAGGATGCAAAAATGCTTGTGGAGTGAGATACAGGTTTTCTAAAAATCTGGATTTTTAAAAATTTTTCGTGTTCTTTTGTCTCAGAAGTATTCTGAGAGAAAAACAAGGACATTTGGAATCAGCATAAAAATTGTATAAAATGATGTGACATTTACTAATTTTTAAAATAGCAAATATTCTCGATAAAGGGTCTCCATCATGAATTTTATATCGAAAATGTTCTTTGATGAATTTCACTTTTTATCCAATCATTTTGTTTTTGGTTGAGTTCTGAAAATTAATATTTCAATGAAAAAATGCGTTGTTTGGTAGAAAATACGTCATTGATACGATTATTCTTTTAATTTTAGCTCAAGCTGAACAAGCAATTGAATATACAAAAGAATTATTAAAGAAAATTGAAGATATCATGTATCCATGAAAACAAATATCGATCAGTCTTCCTTGCTCATCTCTAGTCAAATTTTTCTACGATTCCTTACAGTATGCGCTCGCATTCATATTGTTGTGACGTATCGTTCCTCTTTTTTTTTCTTCTTTTTTTTTTCTTAATTCTGTATTTTCCTAATATTCATGAGAGATGGTCCAATCATCTCTTTTTTTCTTTTTTGTTATACATTATTATTTTTTTGCTGTTGCTGATCGTTTTTTTTTCGTTCCTTTTGTTTTTATACAAGCTTTAGCATTAGCAACATGTCTATTAACAAAATGAAAAAAAGAGATGAGGGGGGATTGATGTACAGAAGTTAAATTCATATTTCTCGTTTTCTTTTTACGTTCTTTTTCTTTTTTTTTCCTGTTCTTACTTTATTATTAATACTCTCTAGTTAACGTTTACTAGTGATTTGTTTAATTGTGTGGGTTTTTTTTTCTTTTCATACACTATTCGAAATGCAGACATAATAAAGATGTTTGTGTGTGATTAGAAGAAAGAAAATAATAATAGGTTCGTATGGAGTTTTTTTTTCTGTTCGCGAGTGTGTCTTTGGTGATGATGTTAAAGTCGAAAAATAAAAATAATAGGAAATCATTGATGTATAATTTATTCTTTAACAATGAATCTATGATTGATAACTTAATATTTGGTTGGAGATGTTTGATAGAATGAATGATAATATAAACATTCTTGAATTGAATTTAACACATTGTATGTATAACGATAGAAATGGAAAATTTTAAGATCATTATTTTAACATAATTAAACAATACTTTTGTCAATAAGTCTTTACAATTTCATATTGCCATTAATTTAGTTGGACCTGTAAAAGAAAAAGTGAAGTATACTGATTAAATACACTATTGAGAAGCTAAACAACGCTGTGAGACATAATTTTTGTAACAAAAATAGCATTAATAATGAATATATTGTTTTCCTCGTTAGTAACAGAAAAATATTATCAAAAACTAAACTATGATATGAACAATAAATATACATTCTTTTTAATCTCAGTAAGTTCTACCAGAAAAACATGGATTCGTACGAAGCCATTATAATTATAGTGGCTGCATTCATCATTCAAACAATTATTCAATGAAAAGAATAAATTAATATATTTGCTGCAGAATCTTTACTAGTTCATATTTATTACTTTAATTCAATCCATTTTTCAGGTAGAGATATAATGAAATATTATTAGATAAGTTATATCAATCATTGACTAGTATGATTAGTAATGATTGAAGATTTTAATCTGTGAATTAATGAAATCTATTTTGATAATCTATTAGCATCAAAGATTCAAAGAAATGAAGATTATGTATATAACTGTTTTTTTTTCGAAGTCTAATTACACATAAAAATTCAATTCTATAATGAAAAAGAAATTCGACCATTTTGTGAAGATATGTCAATTATCTACATCTAGCAAATAGTTCCGAAACAATTAAAAATTTCCAAATATTTTTTTGTCGTCAAGTAGAATATCATCTGAATAAATTATATTTGTCCTTTTTGTTTTTTGGTATTGAGCGCCCGAATTTTCTTTTATTCTATTCGTGATATATTTCCAAATAACAAATAAATTTATCATTAAATATGGCTCAAAAAAAACATAAACCAACTAGCAAATCACCTAAAACACGTGCATCATCTTCGGGTAAAAAAAAGAAGAATATTAAAAAAATTTCAGTTGGTCGGGGTGTAAGAAAAGATGGTATAAAAAAAGCAAAAAGTAAGATTAAAAAAAGTAACATTAAGAAAAAATTAGTTCCAAAAAAATCGAAAAGTAAAATAAATATAAAAAAGTCAAAACCAAATAAAAAAAAATCAAAACCAAATAAAAAAAAATCAAAAACAACTTTAAAATCAACTGGAAATAAAAATAAACCAAAAAAACTTCATAAAAAAATTATTAAAAAACCATCCAAAGCTAATCTTAAACGATCGAAAAAGCCATCAAAAACAAATATTAAAAATTTAAATAAACATAAAACCAAAAAATCTTTTGAACCAGAAGAAATTCCTGTTATTAAAGGATCAGTATGTATAATATGAATTTATAACTTAAATATTCATGCATATCATTTAATAGGAAGTTATTCAAGGTCGAAAACTTGGAGAAGGTGGTTTTGGAAAAGTTGTTGAAGGTTAAATTATAAAAATTTAAAATTAGAAATATTTCTTGTACTCCTGATTATTATTAGGTGCTTTTCGAGGTCGAATTGTAGCAGTTAAAATTCCTTTACGAAAAGAAGATTTTGAAGAAGCATTAATTGAATTTAAAAAATTACGAAATTTTCGTCATCGAAATGTTGTTGAAGCTATTGCTTATTGTAAAGATCCAGCAATGTTCAGTAAATTAGTAACACAAATCGTTTATTTTCTTTTTTTTTCATACATATTATTTAGTTATGGAATATATGGCAGGTGGAACATTAAATAGTTGGTTACATGATGGTAATAATAAATATATACCAATGAATTGGTTTCAAGGCGTTAGATTATTAACTGATATTTCTCGTGGTATTAAATTATTACATGATGCATCATTACTTCATGGAGATCTATCATCAAATAATGTATTACTTATACGTGATCATACAGTAGCAAAAATATCTGATTTTGGTACGGTACAAATGATTGAGAAGTAAATATTGATTAAAAATTAAATCAAATGAAAAAAAAAAGTAAAATGAAAATTTTTACAGATATATTAATGCATCATTAGCTGGTCAAATTGATGAAGCTGTAGGTGCATTTCGTTGGATGGCACCACAACGATTACGTTTTTCTAAACCTGATAATTATTCTGATGTATGGTCTTATGGTTGTATTCTTATTGAATTTTTAACTCATCCTCGAAAAATACCATTTGCTGCAGCAAGTACTGCACAACTAATTGCTAAACTTGAAAACTATGTCGAAGGAGATATAAGAGACTTACGTATAGATCTGGGAGAAATGGATCCAGATGCTCCACTACTTCTTCAAGAATTGTAAGATTTTAATATGAAATCATTGTACTAATGTACTATTCTAGAATGTATCGATGTTTAAAAGCAAAACGAGTCGAACGACCGGATTATGGACAAATTGTTGATGAGGTAATCATAAAGAAAATTTTTTTTATATCAATCTAAAGAGAAAGAAATATCAAAAAAACACATGTTTATTCTCGAAACGTGATTTTTGTTTTGTTTTAGCTTGAAAACATATATAATTATTTGAAAAAAAAATATAGTGGTAGTCAAAGTAAAATGAAAACAAATAGTAAACGTGTACATTCATCTGATGTTCGAACTTGGCGTTAAAAATTTTTGTCTTTTGTATATGATTATACTTTTCAATTTATTTATTAATAAATAAAAGAACTAATCATAAATAATCTATATCACTAATCGAAATAAATAATACATCTTATCAAAAGAATATTAATTCGAGATATTCAAACAATATTGAAACAAACGAATATATCAATTTAATTCAATTGATATTCTATCCTTTGTTGTTAATTTATATGTGCTGACTAAATAATTTCGCAGATACTTTTGAATAACCGATATTTCATGGTTACAGTATAGGATATTGCAAGAATCGGATTGGAGTAGTAAATAATAAGAGAAGAAAATTTTTCGAATTGTACATATAAAGTCTTAGCTATATATATTGATTGCTCATTACCACATCTACAATATACTGTGGTTTTTTAAATGTTTGGTGCGGTACATGTTGACATGTCAAGAACCACTCTCTGAAGTAGGATGAACACTTTTGAGCCAGCAACATGCTCGGAAAAATAGAATACGTGAGTATCGTCATATATAAGGTTTTCTAGAGAATCGATCATTGTACAATGTACACTAAACTTGAGCTGTCGTGTGTTTTATATTTGAGAGGAAAGTATTTCTGTAACGTCAACTATGTTGTAGAACAGTAAACTCAAGTTTTGATGACAACTTCAGCGTTGTAGAACTTTTAATCCTAAACGTTGTTATTAAAAAATATTATTAAAATAAATCGTGCCCGAAAACAAGATGTAAATGGGTTTCATTCATAGTAGCAACAAATGAGGCCAAGATCAAAACAGATTTGCGTCTGAGAAGAAAATAATCTGAGTTTTGGTGTTTGAAGAATGCGTGTGCCATTTTTGAGTTCTAAATTTCGATACTGAAAAATGCCACCTGCACTCATAAATTAAATCCCTTACTCGACGAAACGAATTCTGAACATGCCACGCCTCTTACTTTCTCTATCAGTTTGGTATTTAAATAACATTCTTTTCCACAATGATGAAAACCAAACTTTCATGAGCAAATATACTCTATAGACAAGTAATAATGCCTTTTTCTTTTGACCAGACTCCTGCTATGATAGCGAAAAGCTTGACATTATGAAAATGAATTTTAGCTATTCTACGCTAAAAGTTTTTTCATGAAGCGGTCAATGATCAACGAACATCACGAAATACTAAACTTGTTTCATCGCCAATAAAGTATTGTCACTATACAGGATCAACAGCCGATAGATAAGCTGCTTGGAAATTCGAAAACGAAATCGATGTCTTCTTGTTAATAAATTCTATGAACCACAGAAGAACCTTGGAAAAACACTTTTCGACTACTGAATAGCAATGATTATCCACAGTAGACAAGAACGTTTACATTTATAAAAAAAAGGAATTGTGAATACTTGGTTATATCTAAACCCATCCAAATAAATTGTTTTTTTGCATGGAATTCTGGATCTTTTGCTAACCGGTAAAGTGACAAAAATAGAAAGACTCTTTGAGAAAACCAACTCCAAAACATTTCTGTATCTAAGAAATGCAGCATTTACATGGAAAGATATCATCATACAAAATGCACAAATGTGTCTGTCTCAACTGGTAATATTCAGTTAGAACCAGCACACTTGCAGTGTACTCCTTTCGTTCAAAACTTCCACTGCCCGTCGAACTTCTGGTTCTCGAATAGGATTCGAATGGAGGACCAATGTGTCTAGTGTCTGTATGAATAGTTAAGATAGAAAAGATGACGATCAATAATAAATGATGTATTACCGTGTTGTTAGAGAGAACAGTGACAAGATGCCGTGCTCCTTGGTCTCCGATTTCATTAAATTCAAGATCGAGTGTGGTGAGTGTCTAGGTGAAAAGTAATGATTGGCAAGACGAAGATGTCTAGCCAATAGTGTATTACCGTGTTGTGTGTGAGAGCATTGGCAAGATACTGTGCTCCTAGGTCTGTAATTCCACTGTCTTGAAGGTAGAGTGTGGTGAGTGTCTGCATGAAAGTATAGACTGACACGAAAAAGATGAGTCGTGCATAGTCTATTACCCTGTTGATTGTGAGAGCGTTAGCAAGATGTTGCGCCCCTTGATCTCTAATTTCACTATCCCGAAGGTAGAGTGTGGTGAGTGTCTGCTCGAGAAATGAAGATTGGCAAGATGAAGATCGATAATAAATCGTGCATTACTGTGTTGTTCATGAGAGCAATGGCAAGGTGTTCTACTCCTTTTTGACCAATACCATTGGCTCCAAGGTCAATTGTGGTGAGTGTCTGTGTGAAAAGTGGAGATTAACAACAAGAAGATGAGGACAGAACAGTTTATCACCGATTTATTTGAGAGTGCAGTGGCCAGATGCTGTGCTCCTTGGTCTCCGATTTTATTGAACCCAAGGTTGAGTGTAGTGAGAACCTGTATGAGAGTGAACATTGACAAGACGAAGATAAGTAGTAAATAGTTGATTACAGTATTATTTGTAAGAGCAGTAGCAAAATGCTGTGCTCCTTTGTTTCCGATTTCATTGAGCCCAAGATGGAGTATGGTAAGTGTCTGCAAGAAAATTGGAGACTGAACAGACGAATACGAGCACTAAATAATGTAGTACCGAGTTGTTTGTGAGAGCATTAGCAAGATACTGTGCACCTTGGTCTTCGATTTGATTATATCCAAGGCCAAGTTCGATAAGTGTCTGTGTAAAAAGTAGATATTGGTAAGTAGATGAACACAAAATGGTGTACTACAGAGTTGTTTGTAAGCACATTGGCAAGATACTGTGCTCCTAAGACACCAATTCGATTTGAGCTAAGATTGAGTGCAGTGAGTGCCTGCATGAAAAGTGAAGATGCAAGAGCGAAAGATCTGAAATGAATAGTATATTACTGTATTTTTTGTGAGAGAATGGGCAAGACGCTGTGCTCCTTCTTGCTGGATTTCATTATCTCCAAGGTCAAGTGTGGTAAGTCTCTAATGGAAAAGTTGAGATAGACAAGATGAAGATGGATAGCGAATGATTTATTACCGAGTTGTTTATGAGAGCATCAGCAAGATGTTGTGCCCCTCGGCTTTTGATGAGATTAGATCGTAGGTCAAGTTCAGTAAGTGTCTGTGAAAAAAGCGGAGATGGACGACAGCAAGATGAGTAGTAAATGATGCATTACTGTGTTGTTTTTGAGAGCATAAGCAAGATGTTGTACTCCTGTATCTTCCACTAGACTGTCTCGAAGGCTGAGTACAGTGAGTGTCTGTGTGAAAAGTGGAAATAGACAAGATGAACATGAGTTGTAATTTGTGGACTACTGTGTTGTTTGTGAGAGCATCGGCGATATACTGAGCTCCTTGTTTTCCGATTGGATTTAATTCAAGGCAGAGTGAAGTAAGCGTCTTTATGAAAAATAAAATTCATGAGGCGAAAATGAGAACTAAATAGTGTATTACTGTGTTTTTTGTGAGAGCATCGGCAAGATGCTGAGTTCCATGTTCTTGGATTTCATTAGATCCAAGGTTGAGTGTAGTGAGTGTCTGTTGGAAAAATGGAGATCGATATAATAAACGGTGACTACTAAGTAATGTATTACTGTGTTAAGAATAAGAGCCTTGGCAAGATGCTGTGTACCTTGATCTCCAATTCGATTATATTCAAGGTCGAGTGTGGTGAGTGTCTGTTTGAAAAGTGAATATTCACAACACGAAAGTGAGTATTAGATATTGTATTACTCTATTATATGTGAGAGCATAAGCAAGATGTTGCGCTCCTTGAATTCCAATTTGATTATGTATAAGGTTAAGTGTGCTGAGTGTCTATTTGAAAAGTATACATTGAGATTCGGAGTTGTCTCTTTTACTTTATTGTTGCTTTCAGACTAGAAACGGAAGGAAAGCTTTTTCATTTCCCTTTTTTAAGGAAAGGAAAATTATTGTTTTATTGAGCAGTCGCTTACGAAAAATTAACGAAGGAAAAGTTGAAATTCTTTAAAAAATGAGTACCTGCGAAGTTAGTCTTATCGTGTGTTACTGGTTGAAACAATCCTTTTTATAACATGAACGTTAATGGTGGTCTGACTACTTTCTGGCTTCTTTTGTTTCTTATTAGTTAAAACCAGTTTGCTATTTGCTAATATTTTCTTTTTGAGTTCAAAATCTACTTGACATGTTTATCGTCTGATACTTGGTGTAGTTTTTTTTAGTATGGTTACTATAAAATATTCGTCGTTCGGTTTTATTACAAGCGCAAATTTTTGAGAATTATTTTCCATAGAATATCGATGAGCTTTCCCATGAATGTTTTTCGAGATAGTGGAGCAGGACCTATATATTTGTTTTGTTTAAGATACTGAAAAGCAATTCAATTCAAAAATGAAAATAATTAATTTTATTATCCAAGAGTGCAAACAAAACGTTTTATGTTCATGGATAACGTATACTATCTTAGCAATCTACTTTTCTGGTTCTCTTACACGAAAAACCATGTTTATGAAAAGGACACATTCGGATACATGGACGAATTTTCGAACCATACCATAATAGGGGTCATCTGCTCTTCAGTTCTGTGCTGGGTTTGAAGAAAAAGAAACAAAGATTGCATGAGCGTTGCCGTTCATAATAAAAATAATCAAATTAATTCTACAATTTCTCAATTGCAGATGACTCAAGTATATATGAAAAGAGATGCATTCTTCACCTTATGCAAATGAAACAACTTCACATTCAAATAAATGCTATACAAATGAGTGTGGCCATCATCCATGTAAATGCGAAATCCGAAATATATGTATTCTGATACAAAAAATATCTACATAGATAGTGAACACTTTGATTTAATCACTTAAAAATTCATGCAAAATGTCCAATTCATTATTTTGCAAGGCTTGTATTTTTTTAAACTAATAAATTCTTCTTTATATGATAAAAGTTATGAAATAGAAGAGTTTTTAGCGTCAATCGATCGTTTTGTCAATGGAATAAAATACTCATATTCTCTAAAGTAAACCTCTACTCAGAGAGCATCAATATCTGAAAAGCCACATT